TGTGGAGCGCAGAGCAAGGAAGGAGAAAGGGAAAACCATCCCAGTGGGAGTATCACAACCAACCACCATGTTTTAAACTAACAAATTTTGTCTGATTTGAAACAGGTAAGGGAAATGGCATTGATGCCAGACATGCATGCACAGGGATATTATCAAACTGGGGCAGAAAAGATTCCTTCCATTTAGAAAATTTTCTGGAAGTCAGGTACCCATTCGGGGAAGAATAAAAGATAACGCCAGTCTCAAGGGAAGTGGTCTTAGAGCTAGTGTTGCCCCCAACATAATAAGTTTCAATGGAGGAAGTTGTTCCCCAGCAAAGGGATGAAACTTGAGCTCAGAAAAAGCAAGAGGCCAACATCATTCCTAACAGCCTTCCGAATAGTGAAGCACTAGTTCTGAAAGAATCAAAATCCCCCAGCAGTATTATCCACGATAGCGTTATCCCCAACGGATAACATTTTACCCCCAATAGGTAAGTAAATAATTCCCCAACAGTGTTATCCCTAGCAGTTCCGAGGAGTCCAACACAAGTTCGGTAAAAATCAGTATCCTCAGTGGTTCCTTTCGGGGAAAGGCAAACCGAGTCTTAAGGGAGGTTAGCCTTCAAAGGAAGAAGCTAATGATAATAAAAAAAAATAATAACAATAATAAAAAATAAAATAAAAAGGGGAAGTAGTTTGCAGGGGAATGAAACATCCTACTCAAAAGGAAGTAGTTCTGGAAGGAGTAAGATAACATATTTACTCAGTAGAGCTATCTTCAGCAGAGTTATCCCCATCGGATCATCGAGATGTAGAAGCATCTTCGACGGATTTTTCGACCAAATTTCAAAAGGGTCGGACAACCCATAATGGGGAAGGTAGAAAGGGAAAATTCATCCAAAGCAAAATAATCCCCAGCAGAGTCGCCAGAGCTGTCACACCTCCCTTTTCAGCGCCCGAGAGGGTGCAAGGGAGTTTTTTCCAATTAAAGGACAATCGAAACGGGATTGGTTTATTTATTTCAGAGTCGCCACTTGGGAGATTTAGGGTGTCCCAAGTCACCAATTTTAATCCCGAATCGAGGAAAAGAATGACTCCATATTACAGTCTGCGTACCAGAAATCCGGATAAGGAATTCTGTTAACCCGGGAGAAGGTGTTAGGCATTCCCGAGTTNATATCCAACAAAATCGGATCAATGGTATCGCGAGCTTCATAACGTCGCCTCAATGTTCTATTGTATTTAATATACACTAGATTATTGAGACGCGATAGCTCAAGCCTATTCCCTTTTTTGGAGTGAATCTGCGCATAAATTGTTTAGATTAATTAATAGATACTAATAATAATACAATATAGAATATATTAATATAATAAATATGCTTCTTACATGCTCAAATACACTCCAATTTCTCTCGCATCCAGATGCACTACAAGTTAGGCTTAGTACTTTGATGGCAAACTTTTGCAAGTTTGGAGTTTGATGTCCAAATTGCATCCACCATTCAACTATAGAAAAATATTTTAAAAGTTAATAAATATAAATCAAATAAATTAAATTAAAGTTATAAGGATATCTATATTAAAGTTAGTTACCTGGCGACCTTATGTCTCTGGCTCTAATGGTCGCCTGTAAACCAAATAGGCCCTCTGCTTGTAAGTACCTACCTAACTCCTCCCCTATTTGATCTACCGTCGCTGAATTGGGGATCAACTTCTCAAGACATTCATGGTATCCAATTCACACCTCTGAATCCAAAGCTTCATCTCTAGTGTTCTTGTAAAATAATCCCTGGTTCAGAAGATGGCATGCTGCATGCAAAGGTCGATGGAGTTGATTCGACCACCTACTATCAATAATCTCAAAAACTTTCTCATATTTCCTAACATCTCCCTCAAATGACGCTGCAATAGTCTCTTTGGCTCTATCCATAGCTTCATAAAGATAGCCCATTGGTGGTTTTCTCTCCCCATCCACCATACGAAGCACCCTAATCAAAGGACCACCAACTTTAAGAGCCCGAACAACGTCATTCCAGAATGATGGAGAAATAAGAACTTTGGCAGTTTCTTTCCCCGCAGCTTCCTTTGCATATCTATTATCTTTCCATTCATTTGAAAGAACTAGCTTTCTCAAGTTTTTCTTTTGCAAGTAAAAACTATGCAAAGTTAAGAAAGTCGTTGCAAATCTAGTCTTGGCCAGTCTCACCAAATTTCTTTCATTTGTGAATTTCCTCATCAAATTCAACAGCAACGGCCTCTGACTGATGTAAGAATATACCTTGACGGCCTTAGTGAAAACTGTAAAAGTATCAATAACAATTTTATAGTTAATACTTAATACTTAATAGGATAGGTCATAATAAGTATAAATAAAGTTAAAGCTTTAAAGATAACTATATTAAAGTTACCTGAAGCATATGGATTTTCCTTGAATATGTCACCAAACATTAAGTTGCTACAATGGGCAGCACATGGAGTCCAATAAATGTATGGATACATAGCTTCCATCATCTTACCCACACTAACATTCTCACAAGCATTATCGGTAACAATTTGTACAACATTTTCCTTTCCAATTTTATCAATAGTCTTTCTAAACAAGCTGTACATTTTGCTTCCATCCGTAGAAGAGTTGCTAGCATCGTGAGATTCAAGAAAAACACTCCCTCTTGGAGAGTTTACCAACACATTTATGATCAGTTTTCCATTCCGTGTTGTCCATTTCTCCATCATAATGGAACATCCAAACTTGTTCCATTCCACTTTATGCTCCTCAATAATTTGGTCATCTTCTTCACCTCTTTTTTAAAATGAGTTACTCTAACTTCATGATAGCTAGGAGGCTTCATTCTTGGGCCATATTGTCCTACGGCCTCAATGAACTTATCAAAAGTTTTGTAGTTAACACAGTTGAAAGGAAGCCCTGCATCATGCATCCATGCTGCAAAGGCACTTACGGCGCGATCCCTCAAAATCTTCTTGGCTTCTAAACCTGAACCAGAATCACCTTTTCCCTTTTCTTGTTGTTTTGCCGAGAAATAAAGATTGAAAGGACCTTTTGTCACCGTTCGTGCCGTCGTGGATGACCCACTAGAACTATTTGAAGATATCTTATGAGTTTTGGGGGGCGGAGGTCCCATTTCACCATCTTCATTCATTTCATCATCTTCATCAATTAGATTCACCGATGCTTCATAATTCATTTGAGTTCTTATCACATTTTTCTTATCAACAAACGCTTTTACTTCCTCCCTAACCTCGGGCGAACAAAGAGGACATTGTACTACATTTTTAAATCCACCTATCAAATGTTGCTTGTGACGAGTTATTCCACCATGATATGTTTTTCACAAAACACACATTTAATTGCAGATCTTGATGAGCCTTGTATAGCATAATTCCAAGCTATATCATTTCGTTTATTACTATCGGATGACGCCATTTCAACGTTGTTTTATAGGAAAAAAAACTATCAAGTCAATATGCAATTAATTCCACTCTATAATACTATAAGTCAATAATTGAAAAAAAGGCAAACAAAACAGGGCCTAAAAACAACAGAGCGTTTGTTAAGAGAAGAAGCAGCCTCTATTATTTTGCCAAAACAGGGCCTCGAAACAGCCTCTGTTATTTTGCCAAAACAGAGCCAAAAAAAATTAAGAGAAGAAGAAAGACCTCTGTATTTTGCTCGAAAAATAGAGCACAAAAACAGACCTTTGTTTCTGTTCTTTTCGACAAAAAACAGAGGGAAAAAAATAGAAAGAAGAAGAGAAGAAGAAGGAGAAAGAAGAAAGAAGAAGAAGAAAGAAGAAAGAAGAAGAAGCATACCTAGTCTTTCAATGGCAGAAACCTCAAGCTTTCAGATGAAGAAGACGATGGTAGACGATGGCAGAGCCCTAATCGCGAGTTCAGATAAAGCTCTATTGTTTTGTTCGAAGTTGAAGAAGCTATGTTGTCAAGCCCTAATCGCGACCCTTTTTGTTAAGTCTTTGCCCTTTTTCTTTTTTTTAAAAAAAAAAAAAGCGACGCTACAGTCGTTGCTCGCGACACTGTCGCCTCTAGCTACACAGGCAGAGGCGAGCGCTACTTTGAAACGCAACGCAACAGAGGGTCTGTAGCGACATTGTCTCGCCTCGCCTCACGCTATTAGCGCTGAGGCGAGCGCTATTTATAACATTGGTTTAAGGCTTGTCTTTTATTTTTTTGTTTAACTTTTGGAGCATCCACAAAGTTCCTAAGGGCGTAGATGATTGGTTGTCTATTGTTTTGATTGGGTGTCTGTTGTAGAGAATTATATCTTTGTGTAGGCTTTCTACTCTTTGGCATATACGGTGGTTTTTCCACCAGAAAATCAATAAACATTTCTCTCATCAAAAAGTGGAACCAAGTAAAAGAACGAATATAAATAAACATATTGCATTATTTTGCAGCATAATAGACCAGTTCAGATAAATTTACTTCTGGTATTTGAATATGTATCAAGTGAAAATCATTAATTTACACAACCAATAACCTAGAAAAAGCTTTAATTCAGGAAAGAAATGTTTGTTTTTAAGAGAGAGATACAAAAGAATGTTTGGAGCACTAGGAAGAAGAAATAGGAATATAAGATATGAAGGATTTGCGAGCATATTGCCTCACCCTTCTAAGACCAAATTTCTATTCCTCAAGCAAGTAGAAATCTTAGATAATCAAACATTTAAAGATAGCAAGACCATAAGCCTCTTTAGCATTCAGGCAATCAACTTTAATTGCGATCGATTGTATGATCATTTGTATTTATTCAGTATTCACTCTATTCAGGTCCATTTTATTCTAATACTAAACAATTTGTCTTTCAAGGCAAATAGGTTTTTCTAAAATTAGAGAATCTAGACCTAACACTTCTCCCTAAGTAGTCAAACTAAAAAGCTCCCAACAAATGTTGGACCCAATAGAAGTATAATAATAGCAACTAAACCTCAATTCCAACTGGTAGGCATGGAAACCCTAATCTGCATTGATTTTGATAGATTGTAGGTCTTATGAACCTAACTTTGGGTCTACCTCATCTCGCTCTATCAACTTTAATCATTATATTGTCGCACCTATGTACCAGCGTATCCGGAGATCTATGGATGACATGGTCAAACCATCTCAGGTGATCTTCTCATTCATCCTCTATGTGTGCTACTTACCGCTCTGCCAAATATGGTTATTTCTACTCTAGCCCAATATAAAATATAAGTGTACATCCATCTTAACATTCATCTTGTAAGTATGTTGGGTCTACTAAGGCCCAATATTCAAGTTATCATGAATATAGTAGATAGAGAAGAGAAGCGGAAGAGTGAGAACGAAATGATCATCATCTACTGCTCTTCCCAGGTAGTATGTCACTATCTTGGTGCAGATCAATAGAATTTCTTTTGATAAATCAAAAATAAAGAATGCAATGACCATCACCTATTTTGGAGGAGATACTGCTACAGGATTCCATATCTCTCCCCAAAGTTCAGATAAAAAGATGCCTTCTTCTTACCACTCTACACCAAATAGTATTATCTCCCGTACAAAACAACTTAAGCATAAAATTCTCTCGTGACCCTGCACCCTTTTTCATTAGTCTCCAAACAAACACCATCATAGGCTATTTCTTAAAAGTCAAACTAGCAACAATCATAAGCCAATTATCACAACTGGCCACATGCACCCATTGACCGGAAACTACAGAATATACAGTGACTAAAGTGGTTCTGATTCTGACTAGACCAATGACGGTTTATTGATACCAATTGCCCTCCTTTTGCTCCACTCAAATACGATGTAGGAGCAAATAGAAGAACAAAGTGCGGACTGCACAAAACCTCTGGTTGCAAACTTTAAACATCAAAACCTACATGAAATAAACTACTTAAGCTATCAATTTATTTAAGAGGAAGAAAAAAAAGAACTAATCAAGCACTGCAAAATCTTGAATCCAATCTCATACACTTAACTCTTGAGCAACTGAAACCGAAACAACAAAAAGGGAGTCGATTCATGAAAGAGGGACTAACTAAAACAAAGCAGAAATCTTTTCTAAATGTCTAATGAACATTGCTATTACCGGAGACGGCGATGACGCTACCGTCGAACGGAATAGGGATGCGTTAGGGTTTCCGATCGTATTTCCGAGTCGGCAAGTGCGGTGAGTATCCGTTGGTTTGTATGTTCTGTGAGCGGAAGAGGAAACCACTACTCCCTCCGTCTCTTTTAAACGTAAGTGATATAACGACACAAATCTTTATTTTAGTAAAAGAGATTCTTAAATTTCGTCTTAGTTAAATAATATTATATTAATATTAAATTAAAGAAAAGAGTAATTTTTGCTGTACATGTGTGCTTTTGCCCTAATTCCAACAGTAATTTAATATTCAACCGTGTAAAAGCTCTTTACCTATATTGGTATGAACTATGAATGATACCCTTCAAAGAATAAGAGCACTTTATTCATCAAAATATTTCACTAAAACACTTCATTTAAAAATAAAATTAATCACTTGTTGTTATAAATAGTATTGTATTCAAAGTACATGTCTATCATTTAAAGAGTTTTTATAGTTTATTATTTGTGGTTAAGTTACTTTCCTTCTATAAATAGAGAATTTTATTCCATTGTAATTCATCTCAAAATCAATAGAATTATCTTTGAGAAGACTAAAGTATATGTTTTCTCCTCTTTTAACTATGACATTATATGTAATGGTGTTGGATGTTGAAATCTATTTAGATGCAATGAATCATGAAGACGACATTAAAGATAAAAATAAAACATCTATCCAAGAACGTGTTAAGGTCTCTTGCGCCATCACCTTGATGAAAGGTTGAAAATTGAATATCTCACCGTCAAAAATCCACTTGTTTTGTGGAATGGCTTAAAGGAAAGATGTGACAAAGGAAGTGGATTTTTAACCGTAAGATATTCTATTTTCAACCCTTCGTCAAGGTAATGACGCAAGAAAATCAAGGCCTTAGCGCAATCTTGGGTAGATGCTTTATTTTTATCTTTAATGGTGTCTCCAAGATGTGTTGCATCTAAATGAATTTCATCATCCAACACCCATGACATATAGTTCTTGCTCCATATTTCAAGGGCAACGAACTTTCATTTCATAATATTAGTCATAGTTAAAAGAGGAGAAAAAATATACTTTTTTCTCAAAGAGCTTCTTGAGACGACAAAGTCTTGTACTGATAACGTGAAATAAAATAATAAATATTTTTATTAAAATAGTTATAAAAGAGTACAACACGTATTAACTCTAGTTTGTGGTAATTTATTTTTTTATTCAATATAAAAATATTAGCAGCCGAAGGCATAGATTAATTAAATATAACTCTAAATTATTTTATGATGTCTAAAATAATGTAGTCAATGAAATTTGTATTATTTTTGTCGGGTGTGAATAATTTGGCAATGCCTCTATAAATTTGTTTATCTCTTTAATTTTTTTCCAAATAAGTAAAAATCAATTTTATACGTCTATAGTAATCATTGAACTTCTATTTTGTATTGATGGTTAATTTTATGTTGTAAGTATTTGTTTTGCAGAAGTATTTTCAATCATTCTCAAAAATTAAATAAAAAGGGGAAAAAAAGAAGAAGCTTATGGCAAAGAGGCCTTTCATGTCCCTAGCTACAAAGTTCTTTCATTACTTAAAAGTTTATTTTAGAATACCGAACCCTCGGTTTGTAGTCCTTATGGAAATTCAATCTTATACAAAATTTAAATAAGGGAAAATTTTATAAAATTAAAATCTTATTGGATTTAAAATTCCTAAATAAAAGGAGTTCCTGCAAGTTCTAAATATTAGAAAAATAATTAAATGACTATTTTATTCAGTGTGAAATTTACTTTTAAAGGATAAAAAAGGCAAACAATATTTCGCTAAGGAATTTCGTGCTTTTAATATAGTACTATTTTCTGGGTACGCGCATTGCGCGTGTACCCATGTCAATGGTAAACTTTTTAAATATCACATAAATATATTTTAAAGAATATGCTGCCATTTTATAAAATAAAAATTAAAGAAAAATTCAAATTTCTACAAAAGATGAATGTTGACCCTATCTAGCTAACTCTACTGATACACTGCCTTCTTTTTGTTTTTTGTTTTTTTTCTTATTTAGGGGACAAGATTGATATTTGACACAATGCCTTCTTTTTGTTTTTTTGTTTTTTTATTTAGGGAACATCATAAGAAGATATTATTTCTAATGGTTTAATATGAATGGAGCAAAGTTATGAGCTCTAGTATTTTGTAGATAGGGTTCCTCGCCCTACACCTTTTCTTTGCGATACTTATTTTTTTTTAACAATTATCTATTTATTTTCAAAAATATAAATGAAGAAAGAACAAATGATCCGTAAATGAGTTCATAAATTTCTTCAGTCGTACAATTCGCATATTTGCCAAACAAACTTGTGGAACTTCATAATAATGTAAATTTAGTGAAAAATAGGATTTATTATATTTTAGTTGTGCCTTTTCTTCAAGGTATAAGAAATAACTCCATGCCTAGTTTCACCATTTCTACAATATCTCTGATTCTACTGTAACTTTAATTTACATATTGTCTACGCAAAGAATCTCATCTAAAATCTTCTAGAAATTTGAAAAGCCACTCTTGAATTTTGAACCTGCAAAAAATTAACTTTAGGAAAACGAATAGGCCTTAGATACATTCAACATGGGGTAATAACTTCTGTTAACATTCAATAATAGATTTTTAGATATTACTTATTATAACTTGTATTTACATTTTTGTTTAAAAATATTATAACGCAATAGTATTTAATGGAAGGACAATAGTGTCATTCAGCTTTATAAGGATATTTTGGTATTTTAACTTTTTATTTAATAAGTGCGAGATGAGTTCCACTTGGGAAAAAATGCAAGCAAACAAAGTTTCCAGTGAAAAATCGTTTCACTGGAAATAAAGAGACCATCATTTCATCAAGAAAGACCGTGACTCATGATTAAATAATGGATTGTACATTTGTACTGTAAGAAATTTTTCACTACACACAGAAATTCAGTTTATACAATAACAAATCAAAAAAAAAAATAAAAATTATGAACTGCACCAAAAATGTGCTCCACCTTTTACTTTTTTTATATGCCAAGATATCGTATATATTTCACAATCAATTCTTCAAAATATAAAAACTTACTACTAATCTAACTTCTGTCGTGTTAGACAAGTGGTTAGAAAGAGCAGAAGAAAAAAATTATAGAAATTAACATACTCAAAAGAAAAGTAACATGGACTGAAAAAGTTCACCTGATCTGAAAGGACATTCCAATGGTTGAGATAAATTGTACTCCTATTCCTTTTCAGAAGCAAACAAAAAAAAATACAAAAACCACAAACAAATTCTCAAGAGTGATTGTTTGAATGGAAAGCAATCGGAGTGGGATTTTGGGATGAGTTCCGAAGACAGTACAAACGAGCTTCGAGTTTCAAAGACTAATCGAGGAGTCGACTCGATACTATTATCGAGCCCATGACCAAATCGATCGGCAAGGCATTGCTTTGAGGTCGGAAATGCGCTACACCCACCGCGAAGGTTGAACTCAAGCCAAAACCGAGGGCTCGACCCAATAACGAGTTCGAGCCGGTATCGAGCTCGCAGACAAGAGCCGTTACAACCGCACTAAGGAAGAGAATCTTGGCGGGAATCGAGAAAGAGACAATTCATCATGGGTCCTCCACTATATACTTTATTTTATTATAAATAAAGTAGGATCCCTCTACTATAAAAGGGGGAATCCTTGTAAGCATAGGGGCACCTGATACACTATAACAAAAGATCACTTCTCATATAGAAAGATATCTCCTTGTACTTGTTTTACTTTATCTTATTCATTCTTTTTACTCACTATTCTCGTTCTCATAGTCAAGAATACACATATTTCTATTTCTTTATACGATTTGTATCAAATTGTATCGCATATCCTTAGAATCAAACACAAATTTAATGTTATTCGATTTTTAGGGTAAACAGTTTGGCGCCCACCGTGGGGCTGAGGATAACAGTGGTTGTTTGATATAAATCTGCAATACACACCAGTTTACAACTTCAAATCAGCAATGGCTTTACCTATCGACCACGAAGCCGACCTTCAAGATGAAACCAACAACTTGGTACCTGGGGGCCGGAAGGCCACTTGACGATGGCACTGAATCTCGAATCGAAGTACCCGAAATTCGAGCCGAAGTACCGTTAGATGTCAATTTGCAAGTGGCTCTTGAGGCGAACCAACATTCCGAACCGGAAAAAAACATTCAGGGCGGTACTCGATCCGTAGCTCGATACACCCATAACGTGGGGGAAATCGGGAGTGAGCTTACGTATGATCTTCAAGATGTTACAAGCCCAACAAGTAGCGATAGCTCAGTTGCAGAGCCAAACTCATATACAAAGCAGGCCAGATCCCAATCCGCTTCGAGAAATTACCCCCAAAACGGAGCCCGCCATAGTGAAGTCAAACGAGCAAGAATCGGGGACCACTCTCGAAATTACTAAATTNTTATATTAATGTATATTGTTAGCAAATAAGGTCAGATACAAAACTTGTACTAAATATAAAATTATTATTTCAACTTAAAATTAATGTGTAAGATACAAAACGAAATTTTAATTGATTCTTTCTCAAAAAAGGATACCTACCATAACTGAATTATACACAAATTTAAGTAAAGATACTTATAGCTATAATATATTTGTTTGCTTAATGAAATTGCATCCCTCTTTGTGTACGTCCAACATATTCTCAAAAAGAGAACATTTTTAGTTTAAAAAAGAATAAATTATACACAAAATTTAATTAAAAATACTTATAGTAATGTATATGATACTTATATTAATGTATATTGTTAGCAAATAAGGTCAGATACAAAACTTGTACTAAATATAAAATTATTATTTCAACTTAAAATTAATGTGTAAGATACAAAACGAAATTTTAGTTGATTCTTTCTCAAAAAATGATACCTACCATAACTGAAATATACACAAATTTAAGTAAAGACATCTATAGCTATAATATATTTGTTTGCTTAATGAAAGTTGTATCCCTCTTTGTGTACGTCCAACAGATTCTCAAAAGGAAAACATTTTTAGTTTAAATGTTCCAATAATTGTTTTTGATTTATTAAAGAATGGAATTCAATTTACAAAAAATCTTGGACTACTACTTTCATTAAATATTTTTCCATTTATAATCCAAATTTTTTGTGTTGTCTTAAAATTGCCAAATGACTTCATTTTAGCTTGCCACTTGGCTTAAACACATTGCAAACTACTCTCCTTTTAATATAATATAGATATAGATTTTAAAGTTCACGTTAAATTGTTTTCAAATTAAATTGAGAAAGTAATTCTTGTTTTAGTGGATTAATAAGTAAATAATACATTCTTTCTGGATCAAATGTAATATTAGACTAAAATTAACACAAAAAAATTATAACAAATTAATTTCTTAAGTTATGACTCACATTAAATTAGGTGTAAGATGCTAATTAATATGTTTAACCATTTTCTTTCGTCTTCCTTAACTCCTTGATGCCTACCCTATTTACTCCATGTTAGCTAGGGTACAAACCTAGCTAGATTCTTGATGCCAATTACTAATGCTTCTTATGCGTGCAAATTAAATCGCCGAAGCACATAGAGTGATCCAAATTCTGCGGCTATGTACTTGTTCCTTTGGTTGAAGTATTAACTAAGGTGGTCGGTCTCATGTCAATTGACCAAAACATATTATTCCAAACTACTTCATGTTTAATCATGACATTTTAGACTTTTATGTAATGAAAACCCTCATGACATTTCACTTAATATATATTACCTTGCCAGCATCTTCTAAACGAGTCAATAATTTCATGGGGCATGTAATAGGTATTCAGTATAATATCTACAATTCGTCATAAGAAAAACGGGAAACACGGTGTTTATCAGTGAATTATTTTGGTCTATTACCAAATAAATTTTTAACCGTGTTTGACTCATGCACTTTAAATTTCAATTACTGGGTAACGCCGACGACACACATCCAATGAGAGAGCTAGAAGTAATTGGTCACGGTTTTAAAATGAACTTATAACTTTCTGTTAAAAGTTAAATAAGCTTTAAACAGAAAAAGGATACATTACATGCATCCTTAATGTGTAGTGGGGAGGACCATTTTTAATGTATAAGTAGAGAAATTAGAGTCTTCCACTCAACTTAGAAGAAATGAAATGCACCTTGTTTCTCCATATCTCAATTGTTTAATCTAAATTACTTTATAAAACTAACGTCTTTTTCATTTTTATCATGAAACAAATATCAGGCAAGCGATGTATGCACATGATATTATTAAACGACTAAGATTAAAGCAAGAGAGTAACTTTATATTATAAAGTAAGAGAAGAAAGATGGTACGAAACATTTGGCGTTCAATCATTGAAACAGTGCCAATGAGTATATGTTATATACTTATATTATTAACTTTTGTATAACAGCATAAAGTACCTACCAATAAAAGTTATCGAGCGTAACAAAATTAATAAACTCTATTTCTGTATTTCTGTCAATTTGAACCATTCCTTTTGCTTTTCTTTTTCGGTTCGACATATGACCCTTCCCATGCATAGAAAAACATAATGTATATGTACCGGTGTCAAATTTTGCTCCAGGCTAATCCGTCCAGACTTAAACAAGTTGGCTTGACATGTATGTTTATTGGCGAATCACTTTGGGCATAGTTCAATTTATCTCATCTAAAGCTTAGGCCAATTTGAGTTGCATATGTAACCGAAATTGGCAATCCAGGGTGTGTGACCTAGTGATCAATGAAACGGGTGAGAACTATGAGCTTTCATGTTTAAATTTCAGCGGAGATAAAAAATACTAGGTGATTTCTTCTCATCTATCCAAGCCATGGTAGATAGAGTTACATGGTGCCTATTGTTTGTGGGATGTGACAGGTATCCGAAATTAATTAAGGTGCGTGCAAGCTGGTCTAGACACCACAGTTACCGAAAACATAAAAAATATAACTCAAACTGACCCATATGAAAACTTATCAAAGCATAGAGAATAAAAAAATTATTGAGCTTGATTTGCTGAAAATAACCATACCAAATAACGAAAAGAATATTACTCCATTAGTTTGATTTGATAATTAAACAAAGTTTAAAAGAACAACCAAATGATTTTTTTTTTCTGAATTGGAGGGGTTAAATTATGACCCATTGTTTAGTCCAAATTAACTTGTTCATTGTGAACCAAGCAAAACATTCGGCGAAACCGCCCAATCCATTTATCGACTCATTTATTTTACCCGCTTCAAATATATGAGGTTTTAGGCCTCCATGGCTTTTGACAATACTAAAATTAAGAAAATAGTTTGTTTAGATCTCTTATGTATAAAGAACGAATTTCTTATATGTAAAAGAAGATCTTCTATGTGTAAAATAAGATATGAGGTCATAAACGAAAAACAAAATGTAATGTGCCACAAAACCATTTGAACAAAGAAATTGAATGCATGTATTCCTTTATAACTATAGAGATCGATAAGTTAATGACAACCCACTAGTAAAAGATGAACCTACTAAAGCAAAGCAAAGGGAAGCATATCCAGGATTTCGTCGGCCATTGCAGCAAATTGATCTCCTCAATAGCCACTAGCAGCACCCAAAATCCAGAACTGGATCGCCCCTACATTATTGATGCCAAATGGCAGGCAATAATTGGTCCTTCCATCAATTCTGAACTGTTTTTTAGCTGATTAGGAGTTCATTTTCTATATAAATTCATTAAAATCAAATGCCCTCCAAAAAAAAAAAAATTAATTAAAGCATGAGTTTTAAGCCATAGTGCAATTGGGGATAGGTGGATGACATAATAAAGGAGCATCCTGGGATATTGCCATTGCACCTTCCTTTTCAGAGTGCTATTTTGCATTTTAGAATAGAATATTTGTCCAAATAAAATATACTATACTTTATTATAGTACAAAAGTTCTTCCTCTGTTGCACCCATTTTCCCACCCCCTGCATGCCTATATAAATATGTCGACCAACCTCTCCTTATTTCAGTGTCAAGTAATTCTTGTGCAACTCTAGCATTGTGGGTGAGAGACACAGTGCTTGAAATTTGCATTTCTTTAGATAGAAACATACAAAAAGAGATGGCTGCTATTTCTGGTCACTGGGCTTTTGCTTTTGGGGTCCTTGGTAAATAAAGTCTATTTTTCCTCCATAACTAACATAACATTTACTAAATCATTTGCATGCACCACTTTGTTATTTACTTTCTAGCATAAATAACTCTTCGTCTTTTCTTTCTTTTTTTCCTTTTGCCAATTTGCAGGTAACATTGTCTCATTCATTGTGTTCCTTTCTCCACTGTGAGTCTCCATTTGCTATTATACTTTTTAATATGTTATTGTTTTTTTCCACAATCTGACTTAACACTATATAACTTCACACCTGCAGGCCCACGTTTTATAAAATATACAAGAAGAAATCAACTGAAGGCTATCAATCAATTCCATATGTGGTTGCTCTATTCAGTTCCATGCTTTGGATTTATTATGCATTTCTCAAGACAAACACGACCCTTATCATCACTATAAACTCCTTTGGTTGTTTCATTGAAACTATCTACGTCGGTTTCTATCTTTTCTACGCACCAAAGAAAGCCAGGGTATGCTTTTACAAGAAATCGAGCATTTTTTTCTTCGGAAGATTTATATTTTATTCACTTTTCTTTCCTATAGCAAGAATGTAACTTTGATCTTCAAAATTTAATTAATGCAGATTCAAACTGTGAAGATGCTCGTATTATCAGTAGTGGGTGGCTTTGGCGTTATTGTCCTTGTTACCCAATTTCTATTCAAAGGTGCCGCTCGTGGTCAAGCTGTTGGATGGATTTGCCTTGTATTTTCCTTGTGTGTGTTTGTAGCACCCTTAGGCATTGTGGTGAGTTTTTACGTACAAATATTTCACCTATTTCAAAACTTATATAGTCGTCTTCATTTATTTCCCCTGTTTTCCCATGCATGAAGAATATAATGCTGATGATTTTTCTCATTTTATGTAGAGACAAGTAATAAAAACAAAGAGTGTGGAATACATGCCACTTCTCCTATCCGTTTTCCTCACATTAAGTGCTGTTATGTGGTTCTTCTATGGTCTTCTCGTAAAAGACATTAACATTGCTGTAAGTTCTATTTTCAAGCATTATATACTTAATTTCTATACATATGTTGAATCTATTCAGTGTATTTACTTCCGTCTTTATCTAGATTCCAAACGTATTGGGATTCGTCCTAGGAATTCTCCAAATAGTGCTCTACGTAATATACAACAAAAAGGAGAAGGCCATTTTAAAGGAGGAGAAAGTACCGGAGAAGATACAAAACCATGTCATTATCGTAGATGATTACAATAATCAGAAACTTCCAGAACTCACAGAGGAACAGATTATTGACATTGTAAAGCTTGGTTCACTTATTTCCTCAGGAAAAATTCACGTGGCTTCGTGTCTGCATAATTCTAAATGTGGAGTTGAAGCAGTTAAAGTTGAGAATATGCCCAAGCTGCAAACTGCCGAAGCCTAAGAAGTATTACTTTGATTTACTCTGTTCTAACTCCTTGTTTGTACACATTAATTATTCTAAGCTCATAGTTTCCTGTTATAGAAGTAATTAGCTTTCTAGTTAGAAAATAGTCGTCTTAATGCAGAAAACATAGCTGCCAGTCATTGATTGTGGTAGCAATAAAATAAATTTTTATTCAAGTTCATTTGCGTTAAACTTGATTTCTATCGTTTTTATGCACTACCAGCAGTAAAAAGTAATCCTTTTTTTTAATTAGATGATCACGTTTTACGTGGTCGATAATGTTGTTACATCAAATTTGAGCACGTGCGCAAGCAGATATCTTCAGTTGCATCTTGTGTCACAATATTTGCATTTGTTACAGTATGACTGTGCACACAAATAGCCATTTCTCGTTTATGGCTTTAATGCCAGCATGCAACGTGCATAGAATTCAGTTCAATATTATCGAGTTTAAGTTTTTCTATGCACTATTTTACACCATCAGGTTTAGTTCATCTATAACAATAGATAAATTTTCATGAAAAGCCTTATATAGTAACATGAAAAATAGAAGAGCAACCTACTACAATCGATTAAATTGACTTGATAGAAGGAAAAGATTGCATTATCGGTATATAAAATTAATTTGTATATTAATACATGGGTCAAGGCAGGGATCGGATAGAGTTAGAATACGGACTATGAGTTCGGTCGAACACAGTAACTTAGGTTCATATACTGCTTTGTCTTAAAAAATTCATTAAATATATACACATTATTAAGTTAGAATACATTAACTTACAAGTACTAAAATTTTGATAAGATTCAAATCCTTTCTCCGCCTCTATGTAATAGATACTTACGTCTACCAAAATTTTCCTAAATTCACGCGTAAAGTAAATAATTCGAGGTAGCAGTACTCTCCGCATTATTGTTCACTTATTTTATTAAAATGGAATTCCCGTCGGCTTAACTAGTCTTCCTCGTCCCAGCTTTGCTCTGTTTCTCAATATTTTGTCAGATAGTTTTCAAGTCGTGTAGATCAAGAAAAAGTTGGACTAAAAGATATCTAAAGTGAACCCCAAATTCAAATTGAATATGAGTTTCGTTATAATATGTTTAAAGTCTTATGCAAAGTCTCTTTCTGACGTTAATGGTTGTCCCATTGGCTTTTTTCCATTGCTTTAGATCGACGGATAGATTACTAAAAAAATTTAATCCCACTATGTATATGGTCAAAATCGGGCTTGACCTGGAACGAGGCAGGCCAAGGTTCGACCCTATGTTGCATCGGATCACGGCGCAAAGATAGTCTGCCGAGCTCGAGACTCAGAGACCAATCGAGATCGGGGTCGGCTAATATCGAATAATAGAAAACCGAGATATCCGTGATCAGGTAAGGATCGCAGCGAAAATCTTGGCACATATCAAATCAAGACCGGTTATTTAGTCAATCATGAGATTTCCTTCTGTATTTAGAATTGTACCATAAGTACAATTTATCTACTATATAAAAGGGGTTCTAATCATTTTGTAAGGACGATATTCACGCATAACAAACAATATATTATATTTTCTCTCTTAAGCTCTGTTGTTCAGTTCATACTTTTCAATAACACACTCAGTTGGTTTGAGGGTGATCTAGTTCGAGGTATGGCTGTCCAACGGGACGGGACGGGACGGGACGGGACGACATTTAAGCGGGATGTAGGCGGGACGGGACGAAATGGGACGGGACAAACGAGACGAAACGTTCGTCCCATCCCGTCCCGCTAACAAACGGGATGAGACGGGATGGGACTGGACGGGACGGGTTCGTGGGCCTTAAGTGTATTTTTTTATTAAAAAAACGTCTAGTTTTTTTAAATGTACTATGTTTTAAAGTTTGCAACGACTAGATTTTTGACTTATTTAATAAACTTAAATGTTACTATGTTAAAATGAAAATTAGAAAACTAAGTAAAGAATTATAAAATATTAAAACAAAAGACTTGTAATGAAATATTCTAGTAATTATAAATTTATAATAGAGTTATAATTTATTTAATATAATTTCAAAGTATTAACTATTAAGTAACTAAGACAATTCATAAATAAAATTCAACGCTTAGAGCCTTTTATTTTATTAATAGAACTTTCAAATCTCAAATACAAATATAATTCTTTTGAAGAGCACCTAATCGACGCAGCCACCTTCTAGGAAGGGTTCTGTTTGAACTAGGCCTCTTAGTAGCCAATTACAAATTATCATACTAATATTTGTAAGCTCCTATATAGCTTCTTTGTAACTTATCAATAATATCTCTCGGACATTCTGCTGGAATTGGTAATGTTGATTGATGTTCCATGAGCTCCATGTCGTCATCGCTCCCAGTGGTTAGTATCTCATTGTATTCTTCTTCTTCTTTCCTAGTGGTTAATTTTTCAAAACTAAGATTTCTTCTTTCTGCATTAATCCGATCTTTGAATAATACGAAAATCTCTAGACTGTCCTCTGCTAATGAATGTCTATGATCTCCAATTTGAAATCTTGTCGCGCTAAAAGCACTCTCTGATGCTACTGATGATGCTTGAATAGCCAGGATATCTCGGACCATAATTGAAAGTGTTGGAAAAGCCTTGCCACGCTCCCTCCACCATGACAAAAGTTGTTCCTTGCCTTCTTCATCTTTAATATTTTCCAATCCTTGATTAATATAAGAATCAAGTTCATCATCAATAAAGGAATCAAAACTTGTTATATCATTCATATCTTCCCATAAAACTTCTGCTCTAGACTTAGAAGTAGAAGGAGCAGTTTCACAACCAGTTGTATCCATAGATTTATATTTATCAAACATTGATCTACATAAGAATATATGCTAGCTTGGAAGTTTTCGAGAAATTTTAAGCTATTTGCTGCGGTTGTGTTAGAAGAAGCATTATCTAAGGTGATAGTTAAAACTTTATTAATGAGTCCATAAAAATCAAGTATTTGTAGAACAGTAGTTGCAATATATGCTCCAGTGTGTTTTGAATCAACAAATTTATAACCAATAATACGTTTTTGCAAGTTCCAGTGATGATCAACCCAATGACATGTAACAGTTAAATAATCACAACCATTATAGTTGTTGTTGAATTTGATTAGAACCAGATCCACTAGGAGTTTTAGTATTTATGGTAGGATCTATAATTTTTCCGGCTTCTATGTTAGCTTGTATCCATAAAGATTTGTGATCCCTTATTAAGTGTCTACTTAAACCCCCCGTCCCACCACTTGTTATGTGTGCAAATACTTGCTTACATTTTTCAGATATAGCACGATGATTGACTTTATCATGTTTAAAAATTTCCATACAAGTGATGTTTTGGGATGTTTAGCCTTAGGCTTACCCCTTACAGGGGGTACAGGGGGTAAAGCTCCAGACTGAGATTGACTCTGAGTTGGAGCTTGTGTTGGGGGACTAGTGGGTGTTTCATCTAATTCTTCTTCCTCATTTTCTTCATCCTCATGTTCTTCATCCTCAAAAAAATATCATTGCCAAAATGTCTTTGTAAAGTTTCATGATCTAATTGTTCTCCGACATGAACATCATAAAATGTGGGGGGTTGGGAAAATGAAGTTTCATCAACANGACGGGACGCGGGACCAGGACCGGGACGTCCCGTCCCGTTGGACAACTATAGTTCGAGGGCCATAACCACTCATTATATTGGTTTGCTTTATTTTACAGTTAATTTCTAGCATTAATTTTCATATTTCTCAATTTGTGCCAAGTGAAATCACATATTCTTAAAACCACTTATAACTTTAATTGTTATCCAATTTTAAAAGTAAACTGTTTGGCGCCCACCGTGGGGCTGAGGATAATAGTTATTGCTTGGTATAACTTTCATAACACATACTATTTTACGCTTGTTCTTTGAAGTGTCTTTGATTCCAGTATCAACATGTCAAACTCTCAAGCAGCACCCCCATACACAGACAATGGCCTTGGTATCCATGGCGAGAACGATAACATAGCCGCTCCAGGAAATGGAGTACCTCCAATCAACCCCGATGGAGCCCCGACCATGGACCCAATCGATGTCAGTTCTCATATTGCCATTAATGGGAATTTGACCGTCGATCCTGAAAGCAGCGTCCGCAGAGATGTTCGACCAGTTGATCAAAACACACAAGGAGATGAAAAAGACAGGATCAACCTTTGAGTGATATTCGAAATGTTGCAGACTCAATAAGTTGTAATAGGACAACTCCAAAATCAGAACCGTACACCAAGCAGAATCGAGCTCATGCCATCACCGGAAATTGTTCATAGGACCGAATCGGTGCCAAAGAGATCGAATGGAGGAGAATCGGAGACCAATCCTGCTATCATAAAGATGCTCGAAGAACTGACAAAGCAAATTGAGACAGGGGAAAAGAAGATCGAGGAAAACGATAAGAATGTGGAAATTTATAACTCCAGGGTCGACCAAATCCCAGGGGTCCACCGATATTGAAAGGACTAGATTCTAAAAATCTTGTGCAAAAACCTCCCCCCCCCCCCC